AAGCCAGGCCTGGAGGTATACCATGAGCTCCTCATCCTGGCACTGGGGAGGCAGAGACAGGTGGATCCTTTGGGCTTACTGACCAGCCAGCTTAGCCTACCTAGTGAGTTCCAGGCCAGTGAGAGACCCAGTCTCAAAAGGTGAATGGTACCCAAGGAGCGACATCTTAAGGTCTTTGACATACATGTGGACATCTTTTCACTCACACTCTTATAAACTCACACCTATATATACACTCACTTGTACACACACACACACACACACACACACACACACACACACACACACACACACACATCAGATGATGCAATCTGACATATTTCCTCATTAATTATTGATCTCACAATTTTCTCCTTTAAAGTAATATTTTCTTCTGTTTTCAGTTCTACCTTCCCTTCTGTTTATTTTTTGAATCATTAATTATTCTTAATGATTCACTCTTATAATTTAGCAGTTCTGTTGGGCTTTAGTTCTTGTCTACATTGCAAGAGAAATTGTATTCTCTTGTTCTATAGCAGTAGATATAGTAGTTGGACAAATTCTTGTGATAACTTCCCCCCTCTTTTCTTTGCATGTATATGTGTGTGGTGAATAAATTAAATAGATGTCCGTGGGCAAGCCTGTCAGACAGTTGAGGTTTTGTTTTGTAGCTTTTATGAACTATTTTGCTGTCTTTGAGTTATGGACCTTTTTTTTTTCAGTTTTTGAGACAAGGTCTCACTATGTAGTCCTAGCTGTCCTGGAACTTACTATATAGGCCAGGATGGTCTCAAACTCACTGAGATCCACTTGCCTCTACCTGCCTAGTGCTAGCATTAAATGCATGTGTCAACATGCCCCACCAGGTTTTGGATTTCCACTCACTCTTTAATATACCACTTGGGCTCTCTTGTTAGGTTTCTCAGACTGCCGATCATTTTCTTACAGTGCTGGAGGCTTTCAGATAGATGTCTGTCTTTCTGCACATGGTCTTGCATTGTGTCCTGTGTGCCCATGCCCAGTCCCTTCTTATAAGGACCCTAGGCATACTCTAATGACCTCATTTAAGGTAGCCACTTGGTTAAAGGTCCTGTCTCCTAATATATAGTCTCATTCTGAGGTGGCAAGGGTTAGCACTTCAGGATAGAGTGTGTGAGGGGAAGACCCACGTGAGCCCCTAGCAGTCCTGTCTCCTGTCTTCCTCTGGTTTTTCTCAGCAGGAGCACTCCTTGATGGAGCCTAAGTTTGTGCAGCTTCTCTCGAATGTAGCTATTATTTTCAAGGTGGGTTTGCAGGAGTCATGTGCTGAGGCCTCCCTCAATGTTCTTTTTACCCTTCATTCCCGTGGGTCAAAAGTCTAATAACTTTGGGTCTTTATTTTGAAACCTCGTATTCCAAGGAAGAGGGCCTTCAGAATTTTATTGGGTACATGTTAGATCCTGTTCTAGACAAAGAGTCTTTCTGAACCTGGAGAGCAGAACCAAAACTAACAGCATTCATTATGCTTCTAGATGGTACAGCAGCAAGGAGGGAGAGAGAGAGAGAGAGAGAGAGAGAGAGAGAGAGAGAGAGAGAGAGAGTGCTATCACACCAGGCGAGCACACTGATGAGGCTCTGTCATGCGTTCGAGGACAGATTAGTGGTGATCATGTCTAAACCTAGTATATTCTCATTCATATCTTATCCAAGGCGTGGCTGACTCATAGGCCATCTCTATCTAATACCTGTCTAGTCCTGCTTATTGTATTTACTAAAGACATCAGCAAAACATGCAAATTTATAATGGTATTATTTAGAGATTTAACATTGGTACCACATACCTCTCCTCTCAGGTGTCTCCTTTGGAAACACTGATGGAGTTTTGAATAAGTGTGTTCTTATGGAGGGATTCTGCACACTTCCTGCCATTCATGATTCTGAATGCTGGACTTCACACTTTGGACCATGTGATTGCTAGCAGCCAAACATTTGTAGTCACATGTCCCTCTGTTTGGGAAACATGGATTCTCTTTCTCATTGCTGTCTGCACAGTGGCTGAGTAGAATCCTCTGTCATCATCTGTCCTAGGATCCTCTTGCCGTTAGCATGCTCACTTGTGCAATTACAGTCTGTCCAAGTTCTCCTCCTCAAAAGGAAGGCCTGATTATATAGTTACCCATTTTTTAAAAAATGTCTTAGAAACAATTAGGTAAATTCAGAGTGAAATCTGAAAAATGTAGGTCAGGGAGTCACAGAAAGAATGAGCGGCTGTCACAGCTGCTTTGTGAGTCTCTGAGGGGCAACACATGTTGACCCCGCCAGATATTGTTATTTTAATCATGTTTTATCATAAGGAAATACAAAGCCCTGTGAGTGGCTTTTATGTTTACTTCGGTTTTTGAATTATTAAATGATTTCTGACTTGGAATAAAGGTGGGGAAGCAGAAGTGACTCTGAGCTCCCATCCCTTAGCCCTGTCAATAGTTACCCTTTCTCTAAGTTCATGTGCAGAGTCTCTCACACACAGTTTTTTTTTTCCATAGACACTTTCTGAGTAAAATTTTAGACCTTGTGTCTCACCTTTCCTTAATGTTATTTCCTAGAACCATGGGGATATTTTTTCCATAGCCACAGAACCCCACATCAGGATGGTGACATTGACACATTACTGTTATCCAGTCTGTGCAAAGGACTTAATATCTTACCTGAGGTCTCACTAATGTTTGCTACAGTGGGAGAAAAATTCTAGATCAGGGTTATACGTCACACATAGCCATTCTTTTTCATTTTTTTTTTTTTTTTACCTTTTTCTGTTTCCCTTTGTTTTTGAGATTGGGTCTCCCAGGGTAGCCCAAGCTGGCCTTGAACTTGGGCTCTTCCTGCCTCTGCTTCTTGAGTGCTAAGGTCACAGGCCTGTGCCCTATATTCAGCGCACTCTCTTTTGTCTCTTTTAATCTGGGACAATCCCATGAACTTTTGGTCATTTATGATCTTGACCTTTTAAAAAAATCATAGACCATTTTTTTAAGATTTATTTATTTATTATGTATACAGTATTTGCATATATCTCTGTAGGCCAGAGGAGGGCACCGGATCTCATTATAGATGGCTATGAGCCACCGTGTGGTTGCTGGGAATTGAACTCAGAACCTCTGGAAGAGCAGGGAGTGCTCTTAACCTCTGAGCCATCTCTCCAGCCCCCATAGACCATTTTTTTAAAATAGCATGTTCTTTATTTGGAGTTTGTTTCCTCATAAATAGATGTAGCCTTGGCCTTGAGCCTTCTGGAGGACTGCAACAGCAGTGGGGTTGCTTCTGTGCACGCTGTGCACAGTGTCGTGAGGGTCTCTTTACCCCATCACTGGTGATGTAGGTTGTGTTGAGGTAGTATGTCCAGTGTTTCCATGCTGTGCAGTCACTATGCATCCTTTGTTATCAGTGAAATAGCTCATAGGGAGAGTCCCTAAAATTCTGTAAATATTTCTCCCCAGAGTTTTAACTTATGGCTTATGGTCAGTTCTATTTTCTCTGTATTATATAATACTTTTGGGGTACTGGTCATGCAATGAGAATATTTAATCTTTCACTTAATTAAAGCTTACTTTGTACACACTATGGTTTGGCATGTAGTAGGTTAAAATCTTGAATAGTTAAGAATGCTGAGATGCTCTTTCACATGAAATTTGTGTTGAATATTAACAGAAAGGTTTTGCACTTGTTTCTTGTAGAATATTGTTTCTCATAAATCATAATTTGATTTAAAATATATATGCATTAACTGCCTAATAAGATCTTTATTTAGTGTCACATTTATTTTACAAAGGGTAGATGCTTATTTTAGCAATGATTTGTCATTAAAATTATGTCAAAATGTCTTAAAATGTTGTTGAAACTGTAAACAAACTCATAACACACACAGAGCTAATTATGGATGCCATCTGTTTATTTTTACCAAGCTTTTTTTTTTTAAAGACCATGGCATTGTCTGCTTATGATAAGCTTCAAGATTATTGTAATGACTAAGCCCTGTCCTTCAATTAGTGCAGTCAAAGCCAGAAGAGAATTTGCTTGTTCAGTGACCTTTTCCTATGTTCATGTATGAAATATGACATGTCACGATAAAGAAATTATTGTTACATACACATAGAACTTAATTTTTACAAGGGAAAAATTGGTATCAAAGTAGTACATATGACCAATGCTTTCCTGAAATTTTTAGAACTTATTTGAGATTTTAGATGAAAGACTACATGTTCTTTATTTTGGTGCTGTAAATGGCTTTATTTTAACACAAGATTAAAGATTTGTAAGCAAACAGTCAATCAAATTATAATGATGATCTCTGTCCATGTGGCTGTATGTCAGTTGCATGTGTTTGCACATATGTATCCCACGTGTTGGTGTGGAAGGCCAGGTACTCCCCTGGCAGCATCAGCTGAAGTAGTTATCCGCAGTCTGCTGAGGAAGCAGAGTGGTTTCCCTCACCCTTCTTTGCTAATGTGCATGCTAAGCACTGCCCAAGCCTGTCTGGAGAGAAGGCAACCTGAAGGCTCCATCTGCTGCTTCCTGCCACGCTGCACTGATGCAAGATTACGCTAATCTTGCTGCTTGTCAGGACAGGTTAGTGAAAGCATGCAAGTGGGCACAACTCAGACTAGACGAGGTCTCGAGAACACCAGCAGCCTCACTGCACATGCTGCGGCAAGTGTAGCAGAAGGGGCTGACTATCAGCCATGTTGAGAACTGCAGCAAAAGAAATGTAAAGTTGAACTGTTAAGTGTTGGGTAGCAATGAATCAAAACTGGGGAAAGTAACACAAAGGCTTACAAATGATTTCACGGGTTATTCTGACCACCATCTGTGTAGAATTGTGTTTATTCTTTCATTTTGTGTATTTCAATGAAAATTTGTAGTCAGGTATTACTAAAGGTTAAACAAAATTAGCTTGTTTCACTTGACTTTGAAACTTGGATTTTTTTGTTGTTGATGTCCATTTATTTGCCTTTTTCTTCACCTATTAACTGGTGGTCTTGGCCTTACAGGTTGAGCACCCTGTCACAGAATGCATTACCGGCCTGGACTTAGTCCAAGAAATGATTCGTGTTGCTAAGGGTTACCCTCTCAGGCACAAGCAAGTGGATATTCCCCTCAGTGGCTGGGCAGTTGAATGTCGGGTTTATGCTGAGGTAAATGTGTTTTGATGGGAGGCAGAAGGGTGGTTATGTCCAAGGCAGGGCAGCCAGTGTGTCTAAACTGCAGGTAGAATCAGGGTTTGATAACCTGTGGTCAAAGCAGAAGAGCGAGCACTAGGTAATCTGGAACAATTGAAAACAGAATGGAGTGTAAGTAAAGCTCCTGTTTTTCTAGGTGAGGAAATCAATAGCAATGTGTTGAGAGGCAGCAGAGCCTCGGCTGAGTGTTGGTGATTTTTGTCCTTTGTGACTCCATAAATGGTAAAGCTTTTAGTAAAGCATGCACTCTCGATTTATAATTTTAATTATGGGTTTTGCCAAAGTCTTAGTCTGACAGTTTATGCAAATCAGATTTCAGATCATTCAGTACCTGAAGATGCTTTCTTCAGATGACCTGAAGAATGCAGCATAAATATTTGTATCTTTTAGATGCAAAATGCTCTCTTAATTTACAGCCGTGAGTTAATAACATCTTCAAAAGTACTGTGAGTCATTTTGAAATCTTTTAAGTAGCTCAACACTAGGCTTTGTCCCAATGCTTCTGCTCTTGGTCACATGTGAGGTGCTGACCCTGAACACTCCAGTCTTGTTCTCCATGGTGTTATGAGCGAAGCAAGTGTATTCGTGTAAGCATGTGCAGTTTTTTTTGAGTCTTTTCTTGAAGAACTCAGCTTCTCAGGTTGACCATATGTGACCTGTTTGGAGAAGTAAGAAAAACAAATCTCTTTAGTGTGTTGCATTTGTTGTTCTGAACTTGAGTTACATTTTGATGGAGAATCTAGGTCATTTTATTTTTGGCCCTAAGGCATTCTAAGAAGTTTAAGGAAAAGTTGGAATGTTACCAACTTCAATAAAGTATGGAGGTCAGCCTCAACTCTTCTTGCAGTTCTGTTTGATTTTTAAATATACTTGGAAGTTGTCTAGAGGATGAGACATTCATACTCTGGAATCTTGAGTTCGTAAATACTGTATGTTAAAAATAGACCTATAAATACTCTTCATTGTAGTTAACCTTCCTTGTGCTGGTTTCTGTTTCAAAGACCGTTCTTCCCTTCCTTTGAACCCCCAGGACCCCTACAAGTCTTTTGGCTTACCATCTATTGGGAGACTGTCTCAGTACCAAGAACCGACACATCTACCTGGTGTAAGTCATTAACCGTGATGCCACTGAGGGACTCGGACCTTGACTTATGGCACACTTTTATGTTACAGCATGTCAACCCTAAAGGGTGTAAATTGAGGGACAAGGGAAATTCATGGGGAGTCAGGTTTTGTGTTAAATAAAAAATATTATTTGTACTCTATGGTATTCAGAAACATCTGAATCCACTTAATAGGGTAAGTTCAAATGCATTTAATCATATAAATGATAATTTATATTGTAAAAGATTATAGCATCCCAAGAATGGGAAATGACATTTTTTTTGTTAAAAATATAATCTTTTCTTTCAAAAACAAAACAAAACCAATAAACTCTAATCCAGCCCCCTGTTGTAGTCAGACATCAAGAAATTCTAGCACAAAATCAGCTCATTAGCAGGAGTTTATTAAGGAGAACAAAGTAACTCGTTTTGAGTGGTATCATCAGCTCTAAGGAAAAAGTGACTAGTGTTCATTTTATTCCATAGTCGGTGTATTCCTTGTTAATACAATCTGGTTGCATAAAAAGAACAAGGGCTATACTCTCTCTCTTAATCAAGGCACTAAGTGCATGTGTAGATGACGTAATGTTAGCTAGTGGGTGATAAGGCTGCACCATCTGTGAATATGATTGTTCAGTTTGATGGGTGGTAAGAAGATGGTGAAAGATGACAGGAAGACTTCTAAATTTAAAGATGTTATTGGATATATGATTTATTTCACTTTCAAACTGTTTTTTGCCCATGTGCTTTCTAAAGGGATTTGACCCCTTCTCGGCCTAGAGACTCCATGCTGTGTTCAAAGCGTGGAGGCAGAAAAAACTGTAAAGATTGAACAGGCATTATGTGATGCTAAATAGCACATGAGAGCAAGTGTCAGAGGGACATATCTAAACACTTTTTTAATCAAACAAAAAAGTCTTAAATAAGAAGCATAATGATTACTCTAGTTGTTAGAAGTTTCCACCATGTTGTAATAGCTCACAGAATGTCAAACATTTTGCCCTCTCAAGTTTTTGCAATTTGCAATTTTCAAACGTGAGACCTGTTGAAAGTAAAAGTGATAATGGACAAACTCTACCCCCTACAGTCTTTGTCCCACCAAATCTTTCTTCAATTAATGCTGCAGCAGGAGTTTTATGTAATAACATTTGCAGTTGTGATCCATCCATAGAAAGAAAAAACAATTAAAATCCCTTAAATGTTCTGCTTACTGCTGTTATTTGCCTGTGTGAATGTTGCATGTCAGCTAAATGGACCAAGGAATAGATGAAGAGATTGGGGGCAGGAGAGTGCGCACTAAGCTTTGTCTATCATTATTGCTGGGAGCAATCAAATTGATGTCAGCAGGACAGTAGATGCGTTGACAGCTGTAATTATGTATCTCCATGGTGATCACTTTTGGCCTGTCATGGAGGCCCATGAGTCCCCTCCCTTAGAAGCATTTAATCAGATTGGGCTGTCACTTGTCAGGTAGACAAGGCAGGCTGGGAGTTGTGCTGAGGGGGAGGTGAGTTGAGAATGAAGGGTGGGACATGCCTGATAGTTTCCAGAGTCTGCTGTTTGGCTGACGAAAGCAATTTTAATTGTACAGGAGGTATTTGAGGACTGACTTGAGAATCTCACACTTGGGGTACATGGGTGGTTTTTAGTGGGGTCCTCTTTCCCTCGCTTTACTAAAACTAGATATGTCAGTTTCACTTGGGAAGCCAATTTTGGCTTAGGTTTTTTTGGTCCCAAGAAGGAGCAAATACTTTAGAGTTAACTTTTGGTTCACACCTCTCACATGCATCTTTAAGCCTGAAACACATTGTTACAGCAGTGGTGAGGCTTCTTTTCCATGTAGTCTTTGATTGTTCTGCTTAGAGCTCCATTTGACTCTATTCTTGAAGTGGCCAGTGAAAGTTTATGTAGGCTGTGTTTTCATGGATGAATGGGCACCGAATTTGGTTTTTAGTTGGTTGTTAGAAGTAAGATATATAGTTGGCTATCATTTGGAAAAGCCTATATAAGCAGTAAGTTAAAAGTGAGGGCTCTTTTTTGCTTTGTGCAGTTTTTTTGGGAATGTCTACCTGCCTGTATGTGCTGATCATACACGATGCATTTTGATTTGACCCTGTGGGTTTAAAGTGACAAATTTCTGTAATTATTTTAGTAAACAATACAGACAATTATACCTGGCAGCCACAGATAGGTTACTAAGTTTTTAGGGCAGTATTATTTAAGATGATGAAACTGCACTATGAATGGCAGAGGGACATAATAATATTCCTTATCGTCTGTGGTATTTTACAAGTGGGTTGGACATAGCCATGTAGAAGATGACAAGATGTACTAAAAGTCAAGACTCTCAGACCTGCACCAGTCCAGGGGTCACGCAGGCTTCGGCAATGTGCTGTGGTATACAGCCAACCAGCTGGGAGAGTAGTTCTGGCTTACTGGCACCAAAGCTCATAAAACAGCATCTTTTGCCGAGAGAAAACACACCAAAACTTTACTGCTCCCATGGCCACCCCATTAATTCTTTTCCATTTTTGTTTTACAAACACCAAGTTTTATAGAAATTTATGTCCTGAAGTATGTTTTCAGGAAACAAAGGTGCACACATCCTGTGCCAATGTGCAGTGGCTTTCACTTTTAGACCTTCATTTGGAATGTGGGGTACATGAGCCCAGATGGCTGCTTGTGCTGTGCACAAAGAAATAAGAATTCCCTGGGCATGTTCCACCCTTTTCTTTAAAACCTTAAGAGAAGAGCGCTGTGAGTTTTTTCACTCATCTTCTAATGCCGTGTAATAAAGCCATCACCCACCCTCATGTGGATCTCCTAGACAAGAGGTTCTATGTGCGGTCCCTTGATAATTGCCTAAATTAAAATATTAAGGGCCTACCAGCCGCTGCGTTGACCTTTTCTCCAGCCTTGCCACAGACAGATGAGCTGCTGTTTATTGGGAAACCTCCTCCTCAAGGGTGCCAGAGATTCCTGTCCTCTCTTCCCACCCCTTCCGATGTTGGGCACCACAACCCTGCTGTTTTGGAAGCTTCGATTAAATTCTTCTGTCCTCAAGCCCTAGGATATGATACCTCCCAGTCTTGAGTATTTTGATTAGCTTCTAAATACTTCTGATAAAAAACTTGATCACAATAAATCTAATAAATGCCCTGGCAGGTGCTCCTTCAAAGTTTTACATGGCTAACCTCTGCTGTGCCGCTGGTGTCAAGCAGGGAGAGGAAAACAAGAGTCAGCGATGCACTAACTTGTTGGCTGGTTAGCAGCAACCAGGGGCTTCAAAAGGATATTTTTGAACCTGTGCCGGTCCTGCCCAAGATGAAAAGCACAGAATCCAAACTCTAATTGGAGCTTGCAATCTCACAGAGCAGAGCCTTGGGGAAAGCTGTGTAAACACAGAGGCCCCTGGGGACCAAAAGTATCAGAAAATAGCATTTACAGTTGAGGGGACGAGGCAAAAGAGGAAAAGTACTGCAGACTTGAAAGCCTGACCAGTTCGGGGTCTGTGAGGAGGAGGGGTAGCCAGGGCCCCCTCAGTGCTCCTGAGGGTGGGGGCTTTAGTGGGGCATCATCCCAACTCTCTGCAGCCAGTCTCAGGTGCATCCTAGGGTAGGAATGTATGAAGCCTCCCAGTTTCCTTTCTTTTCTTTTCCTTCCTTTTCTTCCTACCTTTCTTTCTTTCTTCCTTTGTGAAAGAACAAAAATTGTATGCGATAGTGCATATTAAGAGATCAAAAATCAGCCCCTCATTATGTGTCTGGGTTGTTTTCAGTTTTCCAGAGGCAGGGATGTTGAGATCGCAATTTTATTATCCCCTTTCTCCATGGGAAAAAAAATAGCTTGTGGTTAAAGAAAACAAGTCTGCCCAATATGAAGTTACATACTTTTTTCTTTTCTTTCTCAGGTCCGAGTTGACAGTGGCATCCAGCCGGGAAGTGATATCAGCATCTATTATGACCCCATGATATCAAAAGTTAGTTCCATTTCTTTGTTTTCTTTGAAACAGTACACATATTTAATTAAGGAATCAGAAGTGAAGCCTTTTTCTTAACAATGTACTGTATAATTAAACCAGCCAGAAAGCAGTGTGTGAAAGTGAAAACAGTTATCTCGTAGTTTTATAGGGCTTCCTCAGCCACAGTCAAGTCACAGTCACCAGCACCGCTCGTGTGCACATGCGCAGCTCCGATCGTCTGCCAGCACTGCTCCTGTGCACATGCGCAGCTCCCATCATCTTTTCCCCATTGCTTCTGTGCACATGCGCAGCTCCCATCATCTTCTCCTGTGCACATGTGCAGTTCCCATCATCTTCCAGCACTGCTCCTGTGCATATGCGCAGCTCCCATATTAACCAATGGCAGCCCAGCCTACTGCAATGAAAGGAATTAGGCTGGTTTTTGCTCTTCCAAAAGAGGGTGGCAGGTTCTGTGGAGTGCTTTTGACCTTCAAAGGTTTTCCAAATTACAACTTGAGTGAATTTGACTTTTGTTGTTTACACTATAGCTGGAACCCAGAGCCTGGTGCGTCCCAGCCAGGTCCCCACCACTGAAACACCACCCCACCCAGTTAACTTTTATAGAAAATTGTATAATAGGATTTGGCCTATGGATCTTTCTGAACTTTAACTTAGCAGAGTAAAGTGAATATTCATGACTCTCTAGAATCTTAAGACTACATAAATTATAAAATGCTATAATATAAAGTTTGGGTTTTATTTGAAAATCCTTTGTCTCTGAAACAGTAACTTTATAAAAAGGACCAATCATCTTCAAGTTTTCTTTTAGTGTAGTGCTGGGGATAAAGCAGGGATCATGCACTCTGCCCTGAACCACACTCCTAGTCCCCAAAGTGCTTTCTTATGTAGTTGTAGCTGAAGAAACAAGCCAGTTTTTAAAATTTTGTAATTTTTTCATTTAAGTTTTTACCATTGTTTTAAAGAAATCTTAGATTATTAGAGAAACACAATTTAAAAGTAAAAATACACAAAATATCACAAATTGGTTTTCAAATTTGCTATGTTTCTTTTTTGGATGATTGTACTTCCATTCAGAAAAATGTCCTACAAATTTTCCAGATGGCTTATATGTGTAAAATTTATTTACTTATTTTTCCTGAGACAGGGTCTCACTATGTAGCTGGATGACCTGTAATGTGCTTTGTAGATCAGGGTGGCCTAAAACAGAGATCTGCCTGCTTCTGCCTCCCAAGTGCTGACCTTAAAGCTATATGACACCATGTGGCAAACTGGCTTTATATTGAAGAGCTTACAAAATTTACTAAAATAATTACAGCCTGAAACTCGATGACATGCATCAGAAAAAGCCTTAATATATATTCTCATAAAGTCTTATTTCTTTAATTTTAGAGATTACATATAAAAAGACACAGATTCATGCAAAAAAATGGCCTTCGTTGTCATTTTTAACCAGCATGTTTAGTTTTTCATCAAGTTATGGGTGACAGTAATTTTAAGGACAGGCTAGCCTCTTTGTTCACTTTCATACTGGCTCTTTTGAAAGTTACAAAAGTTTTAGTTGTTTAGGAAATCAAACTTGGAAGCCTAGAAAGCCAGGGAAATCAGGAACTTTATCCCCAGCCCACACTGGGCCATGTGCTGATGTGCTGTGTAGGTTCTTCAGGATCTGCTCTCCCTCCCCCATCTTTCTTCTGCCCTTGCTGTCAGAAAATGCTTGTTTTGTTTTCAAGTATTTCTTTACTATGACAATGATATGTAAGGGGAGCATCTGAGATAGGTTGGTTCTCATTTGTTTATTCAAAGAAATCTTAATTGACATTTTATATTGAAAAATCAGACCACTGTGAAAACTGAAGACGCACATTGGTGAATGCGCTAGACAGTATTAAGCCTTTACCAGGTGCTGGCTCTATGTACCATTTTGTTTGTTTACTTGTAGCTAATCACATATGGGTCTGACAGAGCAGAAGCACTGGAGAGGATGGAAGCTGCACTGGATAATTACGTGATCCGAGGTAAAGTACACACGAGTGCTGTTTTGCTACTGTGCATGGTGCCTGGTTCTAGAGAGCAGAGTGAAGGGTTTGTAATTAGGGATTTCCATGACACAACTGGTTACCGTGTTGAAATGAAAATGAGAAAAATGTGAATGGGTTACACATGGACACTGGACACAGGCGTTTGACTCTCTGCAGCCCAAGTTATTTAATTGAACATAGGACATAGCTTTTCCTCTAAATGACTCATGGTATCTTGTAGTTGTATGTTGTGCATAATACAAGAGACTGTGAAGAACCGTGGTCCCACATAGTTGGATAGTGAGTTTGCTGTGTCACTGTCTGTGAGCTTTTGGGTTGGGAAGTAGAGACTTGTGTAGATGGATACAGGCCCTTACATTTGATTAATTCAGGGTCTGGGAAAATAGCTCTTGGCTTCTTCTTGGAGAAGACACAGGTAGTTTGCTAGAAACTGTGGTTTTCTCCTCTGGGTCTCTATCTTTGGTTCTTACACCAGCCTTCTGAATGCAGTCTGCCTGAATCAGAAGCTACCCTTGCACTCCAGTCTGTACAGTGGTCATTCTTACCCACTTTGAGGAGAACGTTATATACCAAATGTAAGTTCTAGCTTCGTGTTAGTAATGAAAAGAACTTTATTATCAAATTCAAGTGTATGTTATAAATTTGAATGGCCAGTGAGGATCTGAGAACATCCTCTAGACAAGTCTGGGTGCTGGGTTGTTGCAGCCTCTGCTCTTCCAGCGGACCCGAGTTTAGCTTCAGCATGCATGTCAGATGGCTCACAACCCCCCATAACTCAAGCTATCTTCAGGGAATCAGGGAATCTTCTGCTCTCTATGGGTACACACATATGTGTACATACAGATTTCTGAATAAAGAGACAGGATTAGCAGGAGGTGGAGTGGGTGCAGAGGAAATGAGTTGGAGATGGCAGACAAGTAAATGGGAACAAAGGTAGAAATTCTGGGACTAATCAGTGTTTTGTAAGTAAGACCCAACATGGAATACTAACAACTAATGGGACACATTTCAGATGAGCCACATAACCCTGCAGAAGGGTAGTGTTTGGGAAGAACTGACTCTAATAACTTAATTGTTTATTAACTGTATATATCCCCAGGCTAAATAGAAAACATTTCCAAATAAATATTAAACTCTAATTAGTTAATATATTTTTTCATAGTTGATGGGTTAGCAAGTCTGAAACCAATTTATGTACATTCTGGAATTGAGGAAATAAATACATATATTGTGGATAATAAGAACCAAGTTTCCCCTTGTCAGAAAGGCAGTAACAGATGTGGGAATGAATGCCTGGGGGTGGAATGAACCCTGTGTGTGGTATGAAGTAGGGTCTGAAAGTATCTGTGAGAACTCGTAGGCTCTAATATAAACTGATGACTCTGTAAAGGCGTGTGCGTATGCATGTATGTGTCCATGTATACACACCTATGTATATTCTCTAGCTGACAGGTTCTGGATTTTGGCACAGTTGACACTTTGGGACAGCAACTGTTATAGGATGACAGTCCTGTGTAGAGTGTGCTTGTCCATGTGCCTTGGCTTCAGGAAAAGCATAAGATGTGCCTGAACTGCCTGTGTAAAAGGGGAAAGCTGTGCTACAAGAGTGATAGAAGGACAGGTATAGTTCACACCTGTCATCCCAGCACTTAGCTGGACTCCACTTACTTGGTAGGCAGAGGCAGGAGGATCCGTGTGTGGCAGTTCCAGACCATTTTGGCTACAGTGTGACACGCTGTGTGAACTCTAAAACAAACACAGGAAAACCTCAGAAGCAGATCTGTTAAGAAGACACAGGGACTGCTTGAAGTGGCTTTCCCTGGTCAAACTAGGAGTCTGCCACACAGGAAGTCTGCCAGCAGCAACTTACAGCCTGTAGCTGAAGAGAGAGTCAGGAGCTGGAAACACTTGGGTTGGATAAACGAAGGAGTTGGTATGGCTCCGCCACACAGATTTTTAAACCAATACATGTAGAAAAAGCAACACATTGAGAATATAAAATAAGAAGATTAGTAGATGCTGAAGTTAATGGGGAAAATGGAAAAACTGTTATTATTATTTTTTTATAGTTTCTTGATGTCCTTCCATAATATACTTACCAAGCACCAAGGAAACTGCTTCATACTAGCAACCTTACCAAGCAGGAAGGGCTCACCTATGTCCTGCACCTCTTGTAGTAATCATTTGTGATACACATACACTGGCATGTGTCACACACACACACACACACACACACACACACACACACACACATACACACACACACACACACAGAACTGACAATGGTAGACTGGATATAATCATGAGGAAACACCAGACATACCAACCCGAAAGACAATCAACAAAATAAATGGCTTCTGATCTTCAAAGGTGTCAAGGTCAATAAACACAAAGAAAAGGCAGTGCTTATCTAGATCAAAGAAAACCAGAGGCACAGACCGCCGGGTACAGGGGGTTTGCACTAGATCCTGCTTGAACCAGGAAAAGGGGCTTCCCTTTGTAGTAAAAGCCACAAATGGGACAACTGTGGAAATCCGAGTAAATTCTGTAGACTCAACAGACACTCAGATTGCAGAAGAGACCTGTTTTCTTCTTAGGAAAGGCGCAAGACCATATTTAGAGGCTGTCAAGGGTTTATGTTACCAAACAGTGTGTGGTCTGTGGCTTATACATACAGAGAATCAGCACAGGGATGAGCTGAGCTGCCCCAGACTCAGAGCCTGAGTCAAAGCTGGACAATAATTATCTGTACTAGTTTTGCTAACTTTTGAAGATTCCAAAATTATTACAGAATAAGTTGGGGTTTTTGCTTCTTTTTTAAATAGAAGGTCCCCTCCCTGCTCCCTATTATCATCTTTGATGGTTACTTATTTACATGGTGAATTCTAAAGGATGGGCATGCTTTAAAAACTGTTTTATAAAGGACAGGAAAGGGAGAAGAATTTATTGTTAAGTGACTGCTTCATTGGTCAAATGTAGACTCCCCCACACAAAATTACTTGTGAGCTTTTGTGATAGTAGAGAAATTTTAGAGCACAGTATACCTAGATTAAACTTAATTTCCACGTCCCCAGGAAAGAAGCAGTGGCCCCGGCTTCTGTTTGATCCTGGTGGAGTGCACAGCTAGCATCTGGCCTGCTGTTTTGGAACCAGCGGGCAGTCAGAAGGCTGCTCGAGGGGCCTCCCTCTGTGGCCTGGTCATGATTTCCCATGCAGATGGGATCTGGTGAACTCTGGCACAGGTCACCCCAATTCCCAATCTGAAACTCTCAGTCATAATTTTTATGATTATGTGATTAATAATATGAGTGAGGCTGTAAACTGACTCTCAAAGAATACCGTGCTGTCTGCCTACTGTTTATACAGGGACTCACTCAGATGGCATTGTCTTCCTGGGACATGGAAGGAAAGCAAACTAAGTGCACAGTGTTACCTCTCATATGGATCTTTCCTTCCATCTGGTGTTTCAAGCTTTCTCTGTATGGGACAGTTTCCTGATGATTCCTGTCTTGGCTTTAGAATCGGTTCCTGCGCACTAGCTCTTGGAGCAGCTAGTTGTGCTCTCAGCGCAAAAGCTGATGGTTTGGTTGCATGTAGTAGTCTGTGTGGTATGCTATTCAGAGAACTTCAAGGACAAATGCATTTGAGTTTTAATTTTATTCTTGAAGCATTACTTAGTGAAATCTAAGTCTTTTTCATGTTATACTTATTATATAAGTAGGAAGATTTAAAACAATTCTTCAAAGGTATGAAAGCAGCCTGGATGCCTATCAATAGACGAATATGTACTGAAAGTGAGGTATGTAGACACAATAGAATTTTACTCTGCTCTAAGGAAAAAGGAAATTATGAAAATTTCAAGGAAATGGATGGGGTTGGAAAGAATTAAGCAAGGTGACCCAGACTCAGAAAGACACAAACTCTATTTTCTCATTCATAGGAGCACAACCACCCTAGTTTACAGTGTGCATGTGTGCGTGCGTGTGCGTGTGCGTGTGCGTGCGTGCGTGCGTGCGTGCGTGCGTGCGTGTGTGTGTGTGTGTGTGTGTGTGTGTGTGTGTGTGTGTTTATAAATGGGTGTGAATGAGGGTGAAGTCAGAAAGGAGACCACAAACGTGTAAAAAGAAGTTCTGGGGGGTTGGGGGGCGTATGGAGGACATATGTGACTGGAAAGCCAAAAGGAACAGGAGGACCGATGGGAAGGAGATGACAGGAGAATCAGCTCTGAAATGTGTTGAAAGGCTCTAAGAGAAAGTGTGGTAACAGAAGAAAAGTAGGTACCCATTTGTGTGTTTGGCTGATAGATTAAAGTCTCTTTATTCAAGAAAACACCAGGGCAAAACGCAGGCCAGAGCGAGGTTACAGGAACCCAGCAAGCGCGGCCAGAACAAAAAGGGCTTGGGTCTCCACGAGCCGTCTTTAAGAAGCCTCCCTTACGTCACCTTGGCTTTCCTACACCACACCCTTATGGTCGAGTCCTGGGTCCACCTGGTACCTGTCCCAGGGCGGGGCTAGGGTGTCTCCCTACATTTGGCTCTGTTGTTTAATATCCTAAGTGTAAGTAACATTTGTTCACAATCCTTTTGGGTTACCTTTTCTAAAACCAATATCCCCTTTTCAACTGTGAATATGAAATGAAATGCTAATACATCATTCACCTTGTTACTTGCATTCACTTCAATATTTTGGATATCAGTATCAGAAAGTAACTTTATCTTGTCCCAGTTATAAACTGCATCTTTAGGCCATGTTATATTTACTGAAGGCAGATTATACTGTTTGGGTATTGGCAGTATGGAGGGCTGAGAAACCTGTACCAGGATTAGGCTATAAAGGGAAACCCAGTAAAGCTAACTGTGAAATATTACATATGTAGGCAAATATTCATTTTATTTTATTAACCAGAGCAATAATTTTAGGAGTTAGACTGCCTTATATCTACTATTTCGGCAGCAGATTGGGGAGGGTGTCTTGTGAATGGGCAGACTGAGTTTGACTTTCATGTAAGAGCAATCACGTTTCTCTCTGTGAATTACATCACCGCTGCACCCCAGTCTTCTGACTTTGGTCCCTCCCACAGGGTGTTAATTCTTGCACACTTTGGGTGTTGTGATACCCACGGCACTGTTGGGAGCTTGATTTCACCTTGCCAGTGTCGGCTGCTTCTCCAGCTGTTTAGCTTCTTTCCTGCTGATGGCCCTGGCCAGGTCTGGAGACTCTCTTACCTTCTGCTGTCATAGTATGGAGTGGGAATCACTCAGACAGCACCAGCCTGTTTTCCACAGGCATCTGTCTGCCCTGCTCAAAGGAAAGCAAGTGTTTTTCCTCTCATCCCTTCCACATCAGCCGAGGCATCTTCTGTCACACCGTAGAACAAGAGACTCGGATGTGCTTGGCTTCTGTCCTTCCCTCGACATCAGCCTGTTATGATAAATCTTTCTGCCAAAAGCCGCCTGAGCCCCACTGCCACGTGTGAGCTTTACGCCAGCCATCCCCCTGAGTTAGGGCCCAAATGAATACACAGAAACTTGTATTAGGTTCAAAGCTGCTTGGCCAATGACTAGGATATCTCATCTGTTAGCTCAGTCTTAATTATCATAAATCTATATATTTTATAAGACTTATCTTATCGGACACCTTATTGGCGTCCCTCCTTGCTGGTGGATCACATCTTGCTGCTGGAGCAGGAGCGGATGGGAAAAAGGGGGCCCTTCCTGTTTCTCCTTCGCTTAAATATGAGTCTCCTTGCTATGTCACTTCCTGCCTGGATCAGTACTTCTCTACCACATTTCCCAGAATCCTCTTTGACTCCTAGTCCCGTCTACTTGCTGTCTCATTGGCCAAACAGTATTTTATTTAACAATAAGATAAACATACACAGTACATTCCTCATCATCAGCCTAGCTATTCAGTTGGTGGCTAAATCCCTTACTCCCTCTCAAGTTCCACTCCTTCTCTCCACAGACACCGTCAGCCCTTAGCTGTGGGACTCAGCCTGGACAGTTTCCATTGCGCTGTGGTGAACGTTGTGTTTCCCACTTTCACTACTATCCCTGTGCAGTCTTGCTCAGGATGCATAAACCTACTTTTCTCCACATGGCTTCTCACCACCATCCTCATTTTTCTGAAGGGATAGTGACTTCTATCTGTGACCTGTCGGGCCTTGACTGCTGCATTGGGCTTTGAGCTCCATCGGGCTGTGTATCTACTCCTCTCTGGCTTGAGTGCCTTCCTGGTACTCTTCACACAAATGCCCACTGGCAACCGTTTGCTTTGTGCAACAGTGAAAATTCTTTGAGTTTTTTAAATTATCTATTTTATCTGTATGAGTGTTTTGCTTGTATGTATGTATGTATGTGTGTATGTATGTGTGTGTGTGTATGTATGTATGTGTGTATGTATGT